GTCCTCTTTGTGGACTGGGTCAATCACGCTTTTGGCCCAGCTGTGAAGCGGTACCTGGTGGACTGTGACCTGCCTCTGAAGGCCCTGCTCCTAATGGACAACGCTCCTGCCCATCCACCAGGCCTTGAGGATGACTTGCTGGAGGAGTTTTCCTTTATAAAAATCATGTTTCTGCCTCCAAACACCACCCCGCTACTCCAGCCGATGGATCAGGAGGTGATTGCGAACTTCAAAAAGTGCTACACCATGGAGCTGTTCTGGCGCTGTTTTGAGGTGACTGATGCCACCAGCCTCATCCTGTGTGACTTCTGGCGTGATGAATTCGACATCGTCATCTGCCTGAAGATGATCGCCAGGGCCTGGGATGGCATCAGCCAGAGGAACTTGAACTCTGCATGGCGCCCGCTCTGGCCAGGCTGTGTGGCTCCTGGTCCTTCAGCACCTGCACCTGAGTCCACAGTGATGCAGGACATTGTGGACTTAGGGAGGAACATTGTCCTCGATGACAATGAGGAGGACATTGCAGAGCTGGTCGAGGGCCATGACCAGGAGTTGACCACACAGGAGCTGGTGGATCTTCAGGCAGAGGCGAGGGAGGAGCAGGAAGAAGAAGAGCCAGAGCACAAACAGCTGACCACCAACGAGCTTAAGAAGTTTTTGGACTGATGGAATTATGTGCAGACCATAGCGCAGCGGTACCACGAGGACACGAATCTGGCTGAGAACTTATCGAATTCCTATGATGAAAGGATCATGTCCCCTTTCTGAGGAATTCTGAAAAGGTGTCAGAGGCAGCTGACTATGGACAGGTTCCTCACAAAGAGACCAAGGCAGGAAGAGGAACCTGCTCCTTCCACCAGTGCTGCTGCTCAGTTGTGTTCTATCTGGAGCATTTCTTCTTCCTTCCCCTCATCATCCCCCTAGACTGCTGCATTGATTTGGGGAACACTGGTCCGGGTGGTTTAGAGGCTTCCACCTCACTTGTTCACGTTAAAGTTGAAATGTTAAAAGTATGTTTTTTGCTTTTTCGATGCATGAAGAGTGTCTGTACTGTAATGCACTTTCAAAAAAGGGTTGTGTAAAATGTTATGTTTCTTCAATGCATGAAGAGTTTCTGTACTGTAATGCCCTTTAAAAAAAGTGTTGTGTAAAATGTTATGGTTCTTCACTGCAAGAAGAGTTTCTGTACTGAAAGAGTTTTGCAAATGTTCATTCACCTTGATTGCTGAGTCAAAAAAGTTGTCCTATGCTATAAAGTTTATGATGTTAATGTGCACTTAATAAACCCTTTGTTATCCTGATTTGACTTTGTCCTGACTCTTTTTTTAAATTTGTTGTTGAATTTTAAAGTTGTAAATGTTTAAATGCTTGGGATCTGACTCTTCGTTAATTTTTGGTTAATTCTTTCCTCCCCCCATAGAAATGCATGGAGCTGTCAAAGTCAGGCTCAATGGATCTCTATAAATTAACGAAGACTCAGAAACATTTTTAAATGCTTGGACTCGTTAGTGTGCCTTCTAAAACGGGTGCAAACCTGATTTGGCTTTGCTCTGAGTCTTCGTTAATTTTTGGTGAATTTGTTTCTCCCCCATAGGGAACAATGGAGCCCAGCTTTTGACAGCTTCATTGTTTCCTATGGGGGAGAAAGAAATTCACCATAAATTAACGAAGACTCAGACACATTTTTAAATGCTTGGACTCGTTAGTGTGCCTTCTAAAACGGGTGTAAACCTGATTTGGCTTTGCTCTGAGTCTTCGTTAATTTTTGGTGAATTTGTTTCTCCCCCATAGGGAACAATGGAGCCCAACTTTTGACAGCTGTCAAAAGTTGGTGGGGGGAAAAAATTCACCAAAAATTAACGAAAAGTCAGATCAAAGCCAAATTAAGTTTGCATCTGTTTTAGAAGGTGCTGAAACTATTTCAAGCATTTAAAACCATTTTAACCCTTTTTTTGACACACTTAAATTTGCAAAAATTGACTTCGTAAACCATTGAAATGCATTGAATAGACTTCAATGCATTCCAATGGAGGAAACATCGTATCGCATAACGATGTTTCCTATGGGTTTTTTCGCTTAAGGATGGCAGTCCGTTCCAATTGGAACGGATTAACCGGTTTTCAATGCATTCCTATGGGAAATGGTGTTTCGCTTAGCGATGGTTTCACATAGCGATGATTTTCTTGGAACGAATTAACATCGCTAAGCGAGGCACCACTGTATATTATCCTATGTCAGAGAAACAGTACACTAAATAAAAAACCCAGATATAATCTATTAACATTTCTTATAATTCAGCTCAGACACTGTCTGCATCTCATTCTGAGTGTTAGACTTTTATCTGAATAACAAAGTGGCAGGAGATTACCATCATATGAAGGCCCTGGCAGGCCAGGTAGGCCAGGACTGCCTTGCTCGCCTCTGTCTCCTTTAGGCCCACGAATACCTGGAGTGCCCCAGTCGCCTCTTGCACCTGAAAGCATATCCCAGAAACATATAATATCAGTTATATACAGATATCTCAAACTGATGAAATATATCCATCACATTTAAAACAGAGGAGGATTTCACTTTTTGCATTTTAGGCAAGCTGACCTCATTTCCATGTCTTCGACTACCATATGGAGCAAAACATAAATATCCTTCAATTTGTGCAGGCCATTGAATTTTGCAAAATTCAGAAATTGCATATGAAATGTTCATATCAAGGAAGGTTCTAAACCAAAACCTAAACTGCAGCATAAGGCATTTGCTGTTGTACAGCAAATTATTACACTAACTTCTTAGCTCACTTGAAATTCACTGACAAGATCTATGCTGTTCCACTAGCATAAAAATGGAGTAAGACTTTGGCAAATATATTAAGGAAGGCAGAATTAAAAATGAATATATGAACAGTTAAGTTAAATGTTGTAAATGAAGAAACATGTATTAAAATAAGTGTAAATTATCGAGAATAGCCTTTTTTTGAAATATCAAGGCTGAAGAGACTTGTATGACTGAATAAAAATGACATATCTGTGTTTTGCCATCACTTTCTCCTCCATTTTTTCCTGTTAATCAGATGACAGTGTGTCACCTCTGGGGGATTCCTGTGATATTCTCAATGCTCTGTAGTAGTAGTAGTTTTAACATCAGTAAAAACTGATAGCAAAAAAATGATCGCCATCTCATAAGATGGCTGCAAAATGCCGTTATTTGTTTATTAATGTACACCAGCAATGTAAATGACCTCTTTCAATATTATCCTGAAAAACAACCATGTAACATCGATTTGGCTGAAAGGTACTGACTGGGGTCAAAGGTCACTAGGTAAATTTTGTGTTTAAGATGGGCTTTGAATTTGGGTCCCCCTCTTTGAAGTCCAACACTAACCATTATATTATGGTTCATTAATCATAATTTAAATAACACCAGACCATTAATTACTATTTAAATAATGCTAGGACTGAAACATGTTGGTAGAAAAATGCAACAATTAATGGGTTTAATTTACATAATATGTAAATAAGGCTACCTACTTTGCATTAATATGCCAAAGCCACCATTCAGATTTAGAGAACTAGAATATGATTATCATGCTAATGAATCTTGTCTATATCTATGCTCCTTAATTTGATGAAAAATATGAGCTATTTATTTATTTATTACATACCAAAAAGACACTCCTGCAGGTTAACACTAACAAAACATACATCAATAAGAAAAGCTTTCTTTAAATAAATCATGCTGTGTGAAAAGCAATACCTTTTCTTATTGTGGGACGATATGTGTAGGCTGGTGGTCCTGGAATGCCCCTGTCTCCTGTTTCTCCCTAGGTAAATTCAAATAGTTTTAATTTATTGCTAAAAGTGACATACAGCCATTATGCTGATGAAACAGAATAATGAAGAGCCTTTCTCCCATTACAGGTAAAACCCGTTCTCAAATATTGCCTTCCACAATGAGATACTACTCCCATTCTACTTCATGTTCTGTTTTTCACCTGTGGGTCACAACGCCCCCCAAATAAAATATTGCCAAACATTGCTAAATGTTTCAATATTAAATGTTAACCATGTTTTAGAAATCCTTACTTTCACAAGGTGTTAATGCTTAAGACCAAATAAACACTGAATTTTAAAACTGGTAATTTTATCCTGTTGGTTCCATTCTGGTTCTATTCAATCAGGTTGATTTGTTATTCAAACAGATAATTAAGTTAAATTACCTTTTTTCCTTTTTGACCAGGAATGCCAGGGATACCATCAGGTCCAGAGAAACCCTAAAATATATGTATGAAAACAACTGCTTTAGAATAATGACAGGGAATCTGCACCTCTTGACCAGATCATGGTAGGGCCACATTTCAGCAGTTGATCAGAGTGCAACTGAACTTGAGACAAAAGGAAGTTTTGGTTTTGTCATCTAAACCCCAAAATGGTTCTGGGCCTTTTTATCTGTTGGAGCATCTCTCTCAAAGAAAGACCACCCAATTTACCTGTTCCTCCCTGGCTGCGCTTCTTAAGGTGGCCACCCTGAAGAGGCCAAAAAAGCATCTATTAGAAACTGGGCCTTTTTCATGGTGGCTCCTTCATTGTGGAATGCCCTTCCACTGGAAGTGTGCCAGGCTCTTCCCTTGGCATCTTCAGAAACTTCAGAAGGAGGAACTTTACAAAGAAGGCTTCAGAAATATTCTTCTGCTGAGGGAATAATTACGGACCTACTATACACTGGATTGTCACTAGATGATTTTTTTTCTCTTTGGGGTTATCTATTTGTTACATTGTGTTACTGATTTTGCATTGTCATTTTCACTGATTGTTACTTATGTTTTCTTTTCTGCACCACTCAGAGTAATGTTTTACCACTATGTTGGACAGTGTAACTTTCAAATAAATAAATAAATATTTCTGTTCGGACACAATTACCACAAAAGCAAATACTTACACCTTTAACTGTACTAGGGGCGAGCAAGATTTAGAACTTGGGGGCCAAACTCAAAACTCCAGCCCCCACCATAAGCTATAACCTATGATCACCATAAACTACCATATCCAGTTTATCTCTGTACAGGAATGATAATAGCTGGCAGGCCAAGTGAAGACAGCCCCAGGCACTCTAAGCCACTGTGCTTACCTGAATCTTGAGTAATAAAGATGGCTCAACAAGAACCCCTAGCCTATGTCCCTGGCCCTTCGGTGGGAGTACAACCTCATCCAGAACAGGCAGTCTGTCTAGCTCACAGACATGGGAACTACCAAGCCACAGAACTTCTGCATTGTCAGGATTCCACTACAGTCTATTGGCCATCAGCCAGACGAATACAGCTTTCAAACAGCCAATCAACACATGCACAGCTTTGACTGACTCTGTTGACAAGGAGAAGCTGTCATTTTTTAAAAAAATCAAATCATATAGAAGTGTCTAGATAACACACTTTCAATTTGTCACAGGGGACAGTCTTGGGGTATCTCTCAAGGCTCAGGAGCAGAAAAAGCACTGCCTCTACAGGCCTTTTCTGATCCAAAGAGGTCACTTTCAGCCAACAATTAGACAAATAAAATTTCTGGGACAGCTTAGGTGGCTGCAAAAAATGCCTACAGGCCACACTTTGCCCACTCCTGCCTTAGTACACACATTCAAATGCACCCACCTGTCTCTCATTTCAAGCTTTCCCTTTCTTCTAGTACATATGCCCATTCCTACTCTCTCAATCCCCCCCCCCCAAGTTAGGTAAGAAATAGAGATTGGCTGAAAGTAGATTACGCTAGTGCATGTACATCAGAATAGCTCAGTGAATTGGCTGTGGAGCCATAGGGTGAGGGTTTAGTTCTCTCTGCCTCACAGAATAGCCAGCCTGTGTGACCCTAGGCAGGCTGAACAATCCCAGGGTGCTCCCAGAAGAGAAGGATAAACCACTTTTGAGTATTCTCTGCCTAGAAAACCCTGAAAAGGGTTGCCATAAGTCAGAATTGACTTGACAAAATGTAGTTATTAATACAGTGGTGCCCCACATTACGATGACCCCGTTGCATGACGAAATCGCTGCACGACGACTTTTTTGTGATTGCTATAGCGATCGCAGAACAATGGTCCCAATGGGGAAAATCCGCTTTACGATGATTAGTTCCATGCTTCGGGAACCGTTTTTTCGCTGGACAACGATCTTTACAGCTGATCGTCGGATTTTCAAAATGGCCTCACGTTGTTTTCCGACTCTTGTTTTGGAAGACAGTGATTAAAAACAGCTGATCGGTGCTCACAAAATGGCCGCCCTATGATCTTCGCTGGACGACGAGGTAATCTCCCCACTGGAACGCATTAACCGGTTTTCAATGCATTCCAATGGGGATTTTTCCTCGCATGGCAACAATTTCGCTTAACAGTGATTTTCCTGGAATGGATTATCGTCGTCATGTGGGGCACCACTGTAATTATGTTAACAGCTGTGTCTCATTCTAAAGAGGCAGTGTGGATGCAAATACAGAATGGACAGATCAGGACACTTAATTTTTATGACATTCTTTAAGTTAACTTATGTTCAAATCACAATTTAATCTTGAGACTGCATACTTACCACATCCCCATCAGTTCCTTTTAAACCATTGATTCCTGGCAAACCCTGTAAAAGAATGTTATTAGTACAATAATAACAATCATTAGTACAACAATAAGAATATTAAACTGTTCATATATAATCATTGGCATCCTTCAGTCTCGAGAGACTATGCTAACGGGCTCTGTATGGAGGACTTGATGCTGTATGCAAAACTGGAGTGTCCTCTCCAGAGCACGAAGTCTCAGTAAAATAATATGGAGGATAGGCTGTTACCCAAGCAGCAAATCCTCCCTCTCCACATCACTGAAATGGAAAGGCAAGAGCCAATACAATTGGTTGCAGCGATGTCACAGGAGTTTCCAGAACATCACGAACTGCCTCCTGGACTCTGGCTCCTGATTTTGCCTCAAGGTTAACTCCTGAAGCCTTTTCCATGAGTGGATATAGCCACAAGGCAGTGGAGGTTTGAAATCAGTTTTCCTTCTCCTAGATGGGCTGCCTTCCCATGCTGACAAGCCCCACCTACCCGGGCTGCTTCCTTGCCACATGGGTGGTGGCGGTGCCTCCTCCTCTCCTCATGGCATGGGGGTTTGGGATCAGAGTTTTCCTTTTCCTAGATGGGCTGCCTTTCCAGGCTGATGAGTCCCACCTACTACTCATGAGAACGCTTGAATGCAATGGCACAGCGTGGGCTGCCAGCATCCAGAGCAAGGCAAGTATTGTGGGGTGCAGGTCATGTGCCAGCTCTGTGATGCAACATATGGGCAGGGTGCAGGGGGTGGTGGGAGAAGCCCCCAGAGTGGTGCCATAAAGCAGATGCAGAGCCACTTGAGATCTGCACTGGCAGTGGTGGGCCCAGTGCCCCTTGGCAGGTTGGACCTGAACTGCCAGAAGGTGACAGAGGAGCGTAAGAAGGGGCTGCAGGAGCACACCAAGCAGGGCAGCCCACATGCCCCTAAGAATTTTGTACCCAGGGCGACTGCCCCTATAGCCCACACACAATATGCTCCTGTATGAATGCTGCAGTTTTAATCACAGTCAAACTAAAAGTTAAGGGGAAAGAGTTATTTCCTATGATCAATCCATTTTAGCTCCCAGAATATGATTTCCTCAGACACACATGCTTCAGCAATCAAACCTGCAGATTTAGCCAGTGCCACATTCTAATAACCCATCACAAAACAATGCATGCTGAAATAAAGCTACATAGCTGAAGTAAATCATGTACTGTGACAAATAAACATCTTTTGCAACATGAGGGAGCCACATTTCTAAATATACACCAAGTGTATCCAGTCTTTCTCTTCTTTTCCCTGCATGTGGAGAACTGAAATCAAACCTTCTATCACCAGCATCCCTGGATTTATTTATCTATGCATCACACATTTGAAAAGACTTAGCTCACCTTAAGTCCAACATACAGAGATAGGATTTCAGCTCAGTTTTGGATTGCATTAATATAATCATTAGTCTGACATTAAAACCCCTCATGGATTGCTGCCTTGTCGTGGCGAAGGGGCTTGAGTAATTCAGAGAAGCTATGGGCTATGCCGTGCAGAAACACCAAAGATAGCAGGTCATAGTGGAGAGTTCCGACCAAACGCAATCCACCTGGAGTAGGAAATGGCAATGCCTCTCCAGTATCTTTGCCAAGAATACCCCATGAACAGAAACAAAAGGCTAAAAGATATGACGCTGGAAGATAGGATCCTTAGGTCAGAAGGCGTCCAACATGCTACTGAGGAAGAGCGGAGGACAAGTACAAGTAACTCCAGAGCTAATGAAGTGGTTGGGCCAAAGTCGAAAGGACACTCAGTTGTGGACGTGCCTGGAAGGGAAACAAAATGCAAGAGAGATGGGGAAAGTTACAGAAAATTGAATGTAGATTTCCAGAGAATAGCAAGGAGAGACAAGAGGGCCTTTTAAAATGAACAATGCAAAGAAATAGAGGAAAATAATAGAAAAGGAAAAACCAGAGATCTGTTCAGGAAAATCGGAGATATTAAAGGAACATTTTGTGCAAAGATGAACATGATAAAGGACAAAAATGGGAAAATACACAGAGAATTATACCAGAAAGATTTGGATGTCCCGGGCAAACCAGATAGTGTGATTGCTGACCTTGAGACACACATCCTAGAAATGAAGTCAAGTGGGCCTTAGAAAGCATGACTAACAACAAGGCCAGTGGAGGTGATGGCATTCCAGTTGAACTATTTAAAATCTTAAAAAATGATGCTGTTAAGGTGCTACACTCAATATGCCAGTAAGTTTGGAAAACTCAACAGTGGCTAGAGGACTGGAAAAGATCAGTCTACATCCCAACCCCAAAGAGGGGCAGTGCCAAAGAAAGTTCCAGTACAACTGCACTCATTTCACACGCTAGCAAGGTTATGCTCAAAATTCTCCAAGGCAGGCTTCAGCAGTATGTGGACCGAGAACCCCCAGAAGTACAAGCTGGATTTCGAAGGGGTAGAGGAACTAGAGACCAAATTGCTAACATGC